CTGCCCTCATGTTTCACCTGCCGGTACTAAACACAACGCATGATTTATGGCACGGCTGTTAATAACCGACTCATTATCCTTGAGAAGCTCATTTCTCACAAAGATAAATTCAGTTTTAGGTTTTCTAGATTGCACCAGTTCACAGTGTTCTTCATATTAAACAGATGGCATGTAGAGGAAATCCATGCAGTCCAGATAAATATAACTGTATTAAATTTCATACAGTTTGGCTGCAAATACAAACACTGACTTCTGGCATCTTTTTCATTTAGTTTACTTTATTATTATTATTATTATTTTTATTTCACGTCCATGAGAAATTATTCTAAAAATGGGTTAAAAAAAAGCTTTCTATTATAGAAGTGAAAGAACACTCATTCATATTTTGTTACAAATTAAATTCCAAAAATTCTGGAGCTCGTCAATATTCATCCTCCATAAATCAGTACTTTGTGGAACGACCTTTTGCATGAGTCTAGCACATAATATCAGAGCAATGTACACTGGAGGTTGGAGTTTCAATGTGATAAAATGTGAAAAACCTCAGGTTGTATAAGACTATTTATTTTTTTGCGCCTTAGTTCCCGATTCACTGTGTTCTCCTGTTTGCAGGCATCATGTGCGTGGCCGATCAGTGCCACGGCCTGAGAGAGCTGGCTCTGAACTACCACTTGCTGAGCGACGAACTCCTCATCGCGCTCTCCTCGGAGAAGCACGTTCACCTGGAGCACCTTCGCATCGACGTGGTCAGCGAGAACCCAGGCCAGCAGTTCCACACCATCAAGAAGAGCAGCTGGGACGCCATGGTGCGCCACTCCCCCAAATTCAACCTCGTGATGTACTTCTACCTTTACGAGGAGGAGTTCGACCCTTTCTTCCGCGACGAAATCCCCGTCACGCACCTGTACTTTGGCCGCTCAGTCAGCAAAGACGTTTTGGGCCGCGTCGGGCTCACCTGCCCGCGTCTGGTGGAGCTGGTGGTGTGCGCCAACGGGCTGCGGCCTCTCGACGAGGAGCTCATCCGCATCGCCCAGCGCTGCACGCAGCTGTCCGCCATCGGCCTGGGAGAGTGCGAAGTGTCCTGCAGCGCCTTCGTGGAGTTCGTGAAGATGTGCGGAGACAGACTGAAGCAGCTGTCCATTATGGAGGAAGTGCTGGTTCCGGATCACCGTTACGAGCTGGATGACATTCACTGGGAGGTATCGAAGCATTTGGGTCGGGTCTGGTTCCCTGACATGATGCCGACATGGTAGAGTTTGGTGAGGGGCAAATTTTTTTTATTTAATTTTTTTTGTGTACAGATTCTTATTTTTACTGGTACAACAGAAGAAATTAATTTTTTTGATCTTACTTTGTTTTTAATTTGATGTAGCTGATGCATTTCTGTAATTTAATCACTTATATTGTTTAACATTTTCTTCCTCTGAGCCCTTCAGACTTGTCATTGTTATTTACACGTCAATTAGTTGCGTGAACTGATGGGTGTATCTGGAATCTATTGGGAATTTGAGGAATTATGCTCAAGACAGAAGTTGCTCCACATCTGTGTTGGCGACATGCAGACAGATATTTTTTTGTATATACGGTAAATTATATATTTTTTGCCTTGTATGGGCATAACTACAATCCTTTTAATAAAAGGCAGTAACTTTACAGAGATAAATTTTACAAAGACAAGTATGATTGTTGTCGTCACACTAAATGCACAGTGTGTGTGAAATCAGTTTGTGTAATCATCTTCGTCGTGGATTAAAGGTAAATACAGTACATAAATTTGACAGCGTGATCAGCATGATAAGCTAGGAGGTTTTTGGTTAATCGCTTTGCAACCGTTTGTGGATTTTTTTTTAATTTACGTTGTTGTCTATGCGTAAGTGCTAACAGGTCTTTGCAAAGAGGCTTTGTGTGGCCCAGACTGGGTGGTGGTCATGAGACAGCAGTCTGGTATGCAGCAGTTTATGAGGTGGATTCTGTCTTGAAATTATGTTTTTGTTTCTTCTAACCTCTCCAGGTTTCCCTCACAAAGCCACTATTCCCTGTCGACTGACTCACTACCACTTGTCATTTTTGTGTTCTTCTATCCAAGTGGAAAAGCCCAAGGATAGTCTGTCCCCTCTTTGAAACATTAACTGGCTGGCCATGATGAGCTTGTAAATATCTCTTAAGTTGCACCACGTTTTTTCTCTTTCCTATATTGTACGACAAATTATCCCGTTGGAACTGTAAAAAAGTGTTAATATTTGAAAGCATATACATGAAAGAAACCCTAATTAAAGACATTAATATCCAGCATACTTGTACATACAACATATAACTTTAAAGCACTTTTTCTCTAATGAAGGTCCCCAAGCTTGGCAAAGTAAACCCATGCAGCCACAGAGGTAATTTCTTTCAGTTGTCACAAACTCTCTTTGTAAATTACTTGAATTTCTGCTTCTTCTTTTTTTTAAGATTTTTTTTTATTTTTAACATTCTAAGTCTAATGAATAGAACAGATTATTTACTATATGAGGAGAAAATCCCTTTACAAAGAGAAACTTACCTAACAACACTATCATAGAATGTGCTACTATAATACAAACTTCTATCTAAGAAGGATTTTATATTTAGTTTTGCAGTCTGTGTTGCAATATCTAATGTGTTTAATATTGGTAAAGAAAATAAAAAAGTAGACTGTATCACAAATCACTGACGAGATGGATGGTTGTAGTTAAATTCCAGAGATAAACATATATAATTATTAGTCTTGGTGATGTCACTTAAATTTGTAATTAGAAAAAAAAAAGCAAATATTGTGGGTTTGAATCACTGAATTGCAAGGTTACAATCATTTAATTACCTCCAATAAACTGAATATCTACAGCAGTTAAAATTTGCAATTGAGCATTCAGTCAAAAAAGAAGGCTTGTTGAGAAGCTGTTGCTTCTGACTGAGTGACCAAGATGCTGGCTGACATAATGTAAAGCACTAATAACATTTTTAAAAACTGAAAATGTTATGAAAACAAAGTGAGAAGAATGACTACGTGTGGCTCATTTTTTAAATGTGATTTTTCTCAGTCCCATGAGAATAATAATAATTAATAACACATATTATTACTTGGACTATCATCCTTTCGCTGATATAAAATGATGCTGTTCCACATAGTGAAACAGAAAAATGTTCAAGTCCTGATCCAAATGAATATTGTTTAACCGTTTTTCATTTAACATTGGTTGGGTATTATTGTTATATTAACTGGAGTTAAATTTGTAAAAACTTCAAATTTAATAGCCTGCTGCTCTGTTAATAGACCCATCCTGTCTTTATGTGTTTTCTTTCCTTTTATGATTCATCCCGTTTGTTTGAAAACCGAATGACTTTATTTTATTTTTTGTAAATAGACGCCATCTGCTGGTTAGTGTGGTTAACTGCATTTCTTGTCACCTGTGCATGAAGATGATTATTGTAATCTAAGCATGGGATGGAGAGCTGATCTTTCTTCTGAAACAGTTCATCTGCTGTTAAGTTATATTTTCTCTTACAAAAGCTGTATAATACTGAGATTTATTTGAAAATAACTTGTATTTTTTTTCCCCAAAGTTATACAATATTTTAGTTTATAGTCATTAAAAACGCTTGTTTAAAAAATATATCTATGGCTGTTGAATTTGTATTTCTTTGCATTTACATTGAATACCCTACATATTTATATTGCGCACTTACGCAATATATAAATATGTGTACTTATGCATTATTGCAACCTAATAATGCGTATGAACTGTACTTCATAAATATGAAGTACAGTCTATTTTATATTTAGTGGGCACATGCATAATCTTTATATCAACTGAACAGAAACAATTGTAATTCTGCTCCTATCTGTCTTCTTAATTTCGTTTGTATTGAATAGTTAAGAATGTAAATGATATTTATTAAGAGTATATTGAACACATGGTATAGGTTTGACACGTATATATGTAATCCATAATATTCATACAACTTCACTATTATTTGATTAGCCTTCCATTAGCGAGTGACAGTCTCTGCACATGCTTTCAGACTATCGGGGCACTGCACCAGGGAGTAGCAACATGCCACACATCTCTGTTGTCTGCTGGTAGTACTGGTGCATTACACAAGGTGAATCGAATAATAAGGAATACATCATTTTCAATTTCTCCTTAAATTAAGAAAGAAAGGGTCAAATGTGGACATACTTGGGTGTTTAATACTCCCAAACACACTTCCGAATTTGCTCTGGCAATAATAAAGAATGTCAATATTAATGCTTTCTGAAAACCCTGACTTCAGCAAGTTTATGCTGAAAATGTATCAACGAACCTAGTTTTTACACACTATCTTATACTTCTGTATTATACTTTTCATATAGATAGATATAGAGATAGGGAGATAGATAGATTTTATTACAGACTTAACGTCCAAAGTACATTAAAAAAAACAATCAAACACAATAAAAGAATAAAAACTACAATAAAAAAAAGGCTCCTAACCATTCAGGAGGCAGTCTTACCAATGTCTCCAAAGAACAGATGAATATTTTCCTGCACTATATTTAACATTAATCAACAGTTGGATAATTCTACTATTAGATTCGGTTAGACGACAAATAAATACATATTTTTAGAAAAGAAAAATGAACACCCGATTTGTCTCATAGGGATTTAATGATGTAATTCTAGCGGAAACGCAAACACACAAATTGTTGTAGAAACACAGAAACACAGATAGCAATCACTATTTCAAATGGGTGGCCTATTGCATTCCCCCCTCCTTCTGGGTTAATGACCAGCCTCCCATTTTCCGCATTAAAACTTTGTTTTAATTTTTTTCTCAGCATGAAACATGAACATTCTGGTTCCTCTGAAGCCAGGAAACGTGCAACTTTCTAAGACTAACAGACATTTTTAACAGATCTGTCGAAAACTGCAGGTTAGAATGAGTTATCCACAGCATTAGTTTTTCTGTGTTATTTGACCTTTAACAAGCAGACCCGTATTTCTGCGCTCGCGGCCCACATTGGGTCAGCGACCCTCCGGTTCGTTTCTGACTCTCGGACACTCCCCGCTGCTGCCGACTCGTTCACCTTACGTTTTCGCGTCGGACGGGGGACTTTCAAGTCCACACAACTTTGTCATTCTGAAAATAATCAAAACCACGGCGTTTTGTGAGCCGTTTCCCCCTCAGGCTGGTGTTTAAGGAGGTGATGCTGGGAGTAGCCGGGATGACGGGCAGGTACGGACGGTTAAATCCTTCATGGGAACGCTGCTAGCTTTGCTAAAGCTAACGTCACGTTAGCTTTAGCAACGTAACTGACCTCAGAACAAAGTAACCTCAGTTCAGTAAACTGGCTCAGCTACAACGTAACTAGTTTGGAGTCATTTATCGACCTACTTTAATTTTCATTTCGGTTCCTTCAGAATTTGTTTTCTTAAGTGAAAAATGTGTCCAGTCCCTCGCTTATGCGAAGTTGTAATATTAGCTTGGTAGTTGCTTGGCTGTTGGCGTTTATTGTTACATTTTTTATACGTTCTACTTTGTGAAAGTTTTGGGTGATATTAGTGTTGCTTTGCTCGTTTCATTGTGACAATTTTCTCAGCTATAAATGTCACTCAAAGCAGCTTTTGATAATTAAAGGCTTGTAGATGAAGCTAATACGAGTTGAGAATTTAGCTGCCCTTGTGTTCATTGTTACTGTTTTTGTTTAGATCTCAGCCCATGTCACTGCATAAGTATACAAAATACAAAGCATAACTTGAGAAAATACAAAATGCTTTTTTTTCATTTATTATGAAAGAAAAACAAACCAACATGGCCCTATAAGAATCGCCCCAGATAATCATAACTATTAAGTAATTGTCAGTTAAGTGTAATATTTTTTTTTGCCGTCCACTGTCATCAGGTCTTTTGAATAACTGGCAATGATATTGAGTGAATGAGTTTTGTCCCATTCTTTGTTTTAACTAAGCACAACTAAAGTTTTTTTGTTGTTGTTTTTTGCAAATAATAATCCTGCTTAAGGTAATGTCACAGTAACTTAGCTGAGATTAAATCCTGACTTTAACTAGGCCTATCTGAAACCATTTCTAAGTCGGGACTGGCATGCATGGCAGCTCCTGTCCTCAAGGACTGGTGTGCTACTGGTTTTTGATGTCGCCAACACAGCTTACCCGCATTGTCCAACTACCTCATCAGCATGTCAGAAATCTGCAGAGGCTTGCTAAGGAACCGTTATTTGATTAGGTGTATTGAACCAGGGAAATAAAGAAAGCATGTAGAATACCATAGCTTCAAGTCTGACTTTCTCTTTCTTTCTGACAGATCATAAACACCGACATTAAGTAAAGCAAGTGAAGCGTCTCATGTTGTTTGAGGTTATTTTGTTGCATGGAAGCACTCTTGAAGTAAATTCAGGAGGATGATCGCACCTAATTTCAGTAGAGATATGAGCCATCTGAGAAATGATAAACACCGGTCTCAGCCAAGGGGAGAAATGAGCGCATGTTTTATTTTTATTTTTTTCTCCTCCTGTAACAGCTTTGCGAATGCCCTGGTTAGCGCAGTCTGTGAGCGGTGTAAAAGTGGCTTTGCTCCAACTGAGAAAATTGTCAACAGTAATGGAGAGCTTTACCACGAGCAGTGCTTTGTCTGCGCCCAGTGTTTCCAGCAGTTTCCAGAAGGACTCTTCTATGAGGTAATGCATTTAACATGATGGTGCTCATTTTGAACGTCACAAATCAACACAACATCGAACCATACCGAGTGCACAGAAAATCATTGACTCTCTTTAACAAATGTTTCCAATGTTTCCCTTATACAGTTTGAAGGCAGGAAATACTGTGAGCATGACTTCCAGATGCTCTTCGCTCCTTGCTGCCACCAGTGTGGTGAGTGTTGACTGGCCTCAAATTTTAGTATTGGGCATGTTTTGTGTGGATTCAGAAAACTAAATTGTTAGTAGCTATTTGAGAAGTGGCAACTGGAATATTCTTTTAGGTATGTAATCTATTCGAATCAAAATGAAAAGTGATATTTGATTTTTTTCAACGTACCTGCTGACAGCCTAATTGTTGCAGTGTTTCTTTGTCTTATCCGTATTATGTGTTATTGTCTTATGCCTGGTCTGCCGAGTTGATTGTCATATGATTTTTTTAAATTTATTTTTTCTTCCAGGGGAGTTCATCATTGGACGTGTCATTAAGGCCATGAACAACAGTTGGCATCCTGACTGCTTCTGCTGCGATATTTGTCAGGCAGTACTTGCAGATGTGGGGTTTGTCAAAAATGCTGGCAGGTTAGTAATCCCGGCTTTTCACAGTCTAGCAAATAACAGCGTGGCAGCCGTTTGAACAGGTGGTGTCACCTGCCAAGCCTGTGACTCTCTTTGCATTTGAGCAAATAATGGAATTTTAAGCAGCTGTGATGGAGTGTGTCACGAAATCTGTAGAAATGCTTTTTGTTTCCCTCAGGCACTTGTGTCGTCCATGCCATAATCGGGAGAAGGCTCGGGGCCTAGGCAAGTACATCTGCCAGAAGTGCCATGCTATTATTGAAGAGCAGCCGCTGATCTTTAAGAATGATCCATATCACCCTGACCACTTCAACTGTAACAACTGCGGGTCGGTGCCAAAACCTTCAGCTTTTTCTCATATTTCCACACATTCTACTCAGGACAGGGTCACAAGCCAACAATCTGTTTAAATTTTATTTATATATATATTTTTTTTACCTAGAAAAGAGTTAACTGCTGATGCAAGAGAACTGAAAGGGGAGCTCTTCTGTTTGCCCTGCCATGATAAGATGGGTGTGCCAATCTGTGGCGCCTGCAGGAGGCCCATTGAGGGACGTGTGGTCAACGCCATGGGCAAGCAGTGGCATGTGGAGGTTTGTGAATGCTTCAGTCCTGGGTTTTCTTGGAAATATTTATAACACTTCAATGCGAAATGGCTCATATTGTCTTTCAGTCTAAAAATGTTTTCTAATTTAAAAAACACAATATGTTCAAATATTTTGACCAGAATAAAAGTAGTATAAATCAGATATTCTTCATAAATTTTCAGGCACAAAACCCTTTTTTTCCCCCCTTTCTATACAGATGGACATGTATTTGGTCCAAATCATGAATACATCCTTGGTCTTATTCAGATCTCTCTGCACTGCAGTTAGACTTGGGTAGAATATAAAAACATTCAATAAATTATGCATGTTGTCAAGATATATGAACTTGAAAATGAAGGAAAAGGTATTTGGACCTAAAACGCTCTAAGCTAGTTGGAATGTTTCTGACGGGCCTGAGAGTTTGGAAAAGCCGAATTCTCCAGAGGTCAAGCAAGGCAGATGAAATGATGGATTCATGTGACTGAAGGCTGCTGCATTTCATACTCTTTAAAGTATGAAATACTCTTTACTGACAGTGTTCAACAGGTGGTGTAATGCTGAAGATGTTAATTGGCAGCAAGTAGTTTTGCATGGAACCACTTCAGAAATGTGTATGATGGACATGATGCTTTTTTATTATTAGTTACAACATGAGTGCTCTGTGTTATGGGATGTATTACATGGGTGCACAACAAGAAGAGACGAAATACAAACTGCACTGTTTTTTGAAGTTCCAGACATTTTACTTGTAAATGTTCTTATTCAACAGCCATGTTTACATGTTTACATTGAAACCAGATTCTCTTCAGTTTGATCAATATTTGATTTTCATTAGAAATGCATCTTTTCCTTAGTAACAACAATTTTTTTACAGCACTTTGTTTGTGCCAAATGTGAAAAACCTTTCCTCGGTCACCGCCATTACGAGAGAAAAGGTTTGGCTTACTGTGAGACGCATTACAATCAGGTAAGAAGCTAAACCTTGGCATTGAATGACATGACTAACATCACAATGCAGGAAGACAATAAAGGAATTTGTTTGCTTTCTCTCCTTGTTTCTGTGTGGTTAAGCTCTTTGGGGACGTGTGTTATCACTGCAACCGTGTGATTGAAGGCGATGGTGAGCATCAGTGTGATAAAACACATAATTAGGATCTTCTTTGGTTCAGTAATTAAAAAGGTTCTATGGTTCAGTAATGAACAAAGTGTTGCTTTCAGTGACAACAGCTGAATCTTCTGTTTTTCTTTATTTTTTCTGCGCTCTCTCAGTTGTGTCTGCTCTCAACAAAGCCTGGTGTGTCAGTTGTTTCTCCTGCTCCACCTGCAACACCAAGCTCACTCTCAAGTAAGTCTTCATAAGTTCACTGACGCAAACCATAAAATCTAGTCACATGCAACTCTTCCACCTCATGTTTGTTGTGCTCTTACTGTTCTTTAACACTTCTCATTATTAATAGGTGTGTTTTTTTGTGATTCTCCAACACTGCTTCTTTTTTATTTCCTGTTCTCCTCCTGTGTCTTCTTTTCCATGCCTCAATTGGTGTGTTTATGACAACTCAGAGATAAGTTTGTTGAAATTGACCTGAAACCAGTGTGTAAGCATTGCTATGAGCACTTGCCTGAAGAGCTGAAACGCAGACTTGCTCGGCGTGAACGTGATGCCAAAGATCGCAGGAAAAAGCCGGCAGTGTGCCTGTAGCTTCACCACTCCATTCATGGATTGGTGCTGTCGCTGCCTTCCTCTCTTCCTGTGGTTGTTCTTGTTAACTTATTTGGCTCTGTAGCATGTCATTATTTTTACAATTTATTTTCTAGCGTCGTGGTTTGTGTTGGTGGCATGAATCTAAAACATGTAGATGCATGTTAAACAAAAGCTGAGCTCGATTGGCTGAATAAATTCAGATACCTGGTAATTACTTTAGTTGGTCAGACAGAAAAAGCTTGGTGCAATGTGTTGCATTCAGAGGTTTGGTAATGTAATCAACAACATAACACCCAAAATACTCCAGTGGTTTTATTCCTGTTTTCCTCTTTGCAGGAACAAGTTTGTTGAGTTTGACATGAAGCCTGTTTGTAAAAAGTGTTATGAGAAGTTTCCGCTTGAGCTCAAGAAAAGGCTCAAGAAGCTGGCGGAGTCATTGGGACGCAAGTGAGCTGCTGTCTGATAATCACCTGGATGGGCTTCTGCTGTGGTAAAATATCCAGGGAAGATGGATATTTTACCACTTTATGGTGAAACATAAAGCCATTTTGGAGAAATAGAATGAAGGAAAATGTTATCTCTAGATCAATACCAGGAAACCTGATAAAGTGAAGGTTTATCAGATTTGCTGAAATCCATCTGTTTACAAATCGACATTGACCCAAATGGTGAAATTCATTGAAAAATATGCATTTACACAAATATATTCAACTATTTCAACTCATACCCATCTTTTTTTTTGTTTTAAAGTTTTTATGTTTTGTTTGTACATTCCTAAATTCTTATATTTTTCTGTGGAGTGTTTCAATGTTTAAGTCTATTCTCCCTCTACTATTACCATGTTTAGCTGTTAGTGTGCCTGCCAGAATATAGAGTTTAATATGACTCTTAATTACTTATATGCCTTAAAAACAAGAACTTTTTAAATGGGAATGGCTTCGATATTACAACTTGCATCTTTACTCATTATATGTCCGATGTATGGTTTCAAATTTTTTGAAAAATCTTCCAAGTTTTCAAAATACTGTGTAAAATTTATATTCTCAATGAATAAATATTCCATATCAAATTGTGAAATTAATGGCCGTGTCAAATTCATGCACCCAGCATGAGTCCTGTTCTTATATTTTAAAATCTAATAATGTATGCTGTCTCAATGTGGTTATGTATTTCAAATGCCTGGAATTGTTGGATATTTCTGGATTAATTAACATTTAAAACATTCAAAGGTGAACGGCTAATAGGAAAGCAGAACTGTTTTATTGCTAGTATTTTAACTTGTTCAATGTGAAAATATCTCTAACAAACCTAATTGCTTTGATTATTTATAAACTTGAATGTGTTTTGAAATGACAGCCACACAAAATAATCTTTTTGTGATAATTTTACTATTGGAAGACTTTGTTTACATTTCAGTTGTGAGCTTGCATTTTATTAGCGTGGAATTGAAAATTTGAGTTTATTGCATCTTATGTACAGCGCTTCATGAAAGATCAATAAAGTATTCTGAACACATAATGTTGAACTTGAGTTTACAGGAATTTATAAATCTGAGCTTATTACATATGTTTTTTCCTCCGCAACACAACTTCAATGTTTCGTGGTGTTAAATTTCCCAGAGTTTAAACCCATAGCTGTAAGAGGAGTTTGTCTAATATCCTTGTACTTGCATAAATATAAATATTTATCTCCCTTGACATATTTGGCTTTATCACAGTCCTATTCATTTGATCTCAATGTGACTCGTTCATAAATTCTTAAGTTCCACTTATGAATAAACCGCTATCAATTAAAGTTTGAAAAATATCCGCTATAAATAACTTGCATGCTAAACTCTGTAAACACACCTTTAGTGACTTGGCAAAGTTTAGTAGATAATCTTGCAAACTAAGACTGATTTTTGTTTTTACTTAAATTGTTATGAACTGCAATAACAAACACTTCCAGTAGGGTTCTACTGGAAGTGTCTTTGAGCTGCTGTAGTTTAGCTGTAAATTAATATTTTTATACAGTGGATAAAAAATGTTGCTCTCTGGGACTTGAGTCCATATCCTGGAAGCCAGAACCAACAGTTGAATGAAAACATATCTAAACTCTTACAACACATCTGCTTATTAAAGCTATACAATCATGGGAAAGGATTTAAAAAAAGATTAGGAGCACTCAGTGTACCTCAGCACTCTCAGTGTATTTAATTATGTTACAAAAGGCAACTGTTAACACAGGCTGGTGGTAGATGAGTAATTATCTCTTCACTGCATACTGGAGCAACTTGGACAGGTGGTTTTTGGCAGGTAATGGCAGCATGTTCTCGTGCTGTGGCTGGATGGGTGAGCCAAAACTCAAGAAGTGCTGTTTGAAAGTTGCCCATTCACCAAATGTCATACCCAGGAGGGCTTTCAGGTCTTCTTTGTCACCAAAGACCAGAGCAGAGCCATTGAGTTTATGTTTTTCCACTGTTTCCCTGTACGTACTGTCCAATTTCATCCTCTCCATCTGAAAATAAAAGATAATATATGTAAAACACAATGATGTTGGTGTTCCTGTTAGGAATGTTAGGTCAATTAGTAAGGCTGAGAAATGTCAAAATATTTTATCAGCGCTTAAAAGTACACAAAAATGGATAAAGGAATGCGTAAAACTGCTACCACTACAAAATTATAAAATGATGGAAAAATGTCGAACAAGATCAATTTCTGACAAACCATCTCTACAGATTTAAATCTAAAAGTTAAAACAAAAAACTAGATAGCTTTAGAACAAAAATATCCAATGGAAATAAATGAATTAATGTCCAAAATATACTAAAAGTGCATAAGTCAAACAAACTAAATTGGTCTGAACTCACCTCTTCACATATGTCGTCTGTGGTCATTTTGATAAGACTTGTGACTGGAAGAGGAGCTATGTTCTTCATCCAACCAGAATCTTCCAGCCTGCAAGTCCCTCTGATAAGAGCCAGTTCCCTCTTGATTGACTGATCCAGATTCACCATCCCTACCTGAAAGATCTCCAGGTTCTTCAAGGTGAACTCAAACTCATCATCTTTGAGTAATGCTTCAAACACTTCAGGATCTCCGTCCTGCTCGAGGAGGTCCTCGATGTGTGTCCGCATCACGTATAGCTCCTCCCTGAACTCCCTGAAGACCTCCCAAAGGGTCTTTGAATCATCAAAGGTCATGTTCGGTTGATCAATCGCTGCTCTCTGCTTTTCATCCTCCACACACAGGAGGATCCAGCTGAATCGACAGGGCCACTGGTTGGCTAGAACCACCCATGCTGCAGTGTGCTCTGGGTCAGGAAACTCTTTCTTCAGTAACTTCAGTATTATGACCGTTACCCAGACAGAGCTGATCGTCCTCTTCATTGAGATGGCATCATCTAGCATGTACTTGTTCAGCTTTTTTTCACCTTTGCTAAGAGTCTTCTGAACTATTTTCTCCAATTCATTTTCTTTCATTTCTAAAGTATCTTCTAAGGACTCAGTTGATTCCCCAATTGCCACCACTATCGGCTCTATAACAGATGTCTTTCTCCTGTGTCTGTTCCACCTCAAGGGGAAATCTTCAGAGAATCCTGGAGTGTTGTTAAGGCTGTGAAACAACCTGTGCTTTAAACTTTCAGACATTGTTGGGACTGTGAAGGGCAGTGTGACTATGCGGTTCAGCAGCCCGTGAGCTCTGTCCTCTTTACAGATGGAGTTTTCTGCAAATTTCACCTTTTCTAATAAAACATTTGGATCTGCAGCCAGGATGGAAAGCACTGGGCTTTCCTCATCTGAGAGTAAAATATTGATGGCCCCCAGGACTGCAACAATTTTCTTGGGGGAGCAACGGTCCAGATGAGTGATTTTCAACACAATACGAATCCTCCTCCTTTCAAACACCTCCATGAACTTGATGAATTGAGTCAGAAACCACATCTCTTTCCTGACTTCATTCATGAATCCCAATCGTTTGCTGAGCCGTTCATTGTCCATTACTTTCTTAATGTTATGAGCTTGGCTGTAGACGAGGCTATTGGCCATCTGAAAGGCAAACCTGAATCCTGTTACTGCTGGGACTCCAAAGGATGCTATAGCAAAGCCCTCCAGTAGATTAATCTCACTACTTGCTTTAGTCCCCTGCTCCTCTGGTTTTGTCTCAGCATTAGGAAGAACCCAAACAAATAAGACAACGAGGAGAACTACTGGGGCAACAATGAAGCCCATGAGGACAAACCACACGGGGCAGCCTAAAACCGTCTTGTATGCCCAGTTATCGAGGCTGTCCTTGACCTCCTGAAGTGAAAAGAAGCAACCCAAGGAGAAAAAATGGTTACCAATCACTGCTGTGCACTGTGTATGTTACAAATATAAATGCATTGTTTCTGCAAATTCAATCCCCATAATGCAGATCTCATGTTGACTTTGATCACATCCCCTTAAAGTGATTCTTAATTAGCTTCAGCTTTTCCTCATGGAGGTTTGCATAATATTTGGACTCTCAATGTGACCAGTCCCATCAATATAGCAGGTTAGATTTGACGATATCAACTGAGAAAACTAAAAAATATGTAAAAGTATTAATTTGTTGTTAATGTGTTATTAATGTATTGCACACTGAATAAGTGAAAGACCAAAAAGACACTAGTGAGCTGGCTAACGAGGCACTTAAAGTGCTTTGCAGAATTTTTTTCAATATTTTTTTGTGACCAAGAAAAACACAACATAAAAAGAATGACCACTAAAATGTTTTTAGGCCATAGAAAAGCCCCAAAAAACCTCACCTTTTCCTTTAGTTCCTCCTTTTCATCATATTGAGTAACACGATAGAGTGCGAGTTGCAGTTTCCCAAAATTCATCTGCATAGCATGAAACAATCGTATGGCTATCCCAGCCCATAGCATGTCACTGCCAGCAAAATGCCAGGCACTGAAATTCACATAAAGGAACCTGACATTATGGCGATTCTGGTTCTCTGTAGTCCAGACTGGTGTGTAGAAGAGCAGCCTCACAATGAGAAGCAACAAGTCTTTGACAGAAAGTTTGACTGCAAGGGGCTTTTGTCCTTTGTCAGATTTCTGCTCAATCCTCAAAGACTCCCGATTTGTGTACACTGAAAAACAACAATTAAAATATTTACATTGAGGATGTAGGTAGTTTGAATCCATATGATTGTATTAGAAAATGTGGATGAACAATATCATCATCATATCTTCTGCAATGATAAAAAAAGGCATCTGTGACCAAGTCTCAGAGAAGCAGAATAAAATATGTATTTTAATATATTTGCCATGGATGATTTGTTTAGTAACTCACCTCAAGTAGAAACAAAGACAGAAGAAAAACGTAAAAAGCATTTTAATCAAAAATTTAATATTGTTCATCCAACCTCTAAAATCAAGGAATTGAGATAATTCTCTGGTAAACATTTTAAATTTTATTGATTTTACCTATTTGGCTTTCAATAAAATACACTTAAGCAAAGAACTAAATCCAATACTTTCTCCAGGAAAACAATCAACGTCTCAGAGCCTCATTATTCTGTGAATTTTATTATCTAAGTTGAAGTTTCATTTGAAATGTACAATAAATCTGCCAAAGTTTAAAAGAAAACTAATAATTCCTGTTGCAGCAGAACCTTCAGCAGCAACACTTTTCTTTTCCGTGGAGGCCTGTCACCACTCAGACTAGTTGACATGACTTGTCTTTGTAATATTTCAAAACATTGAATGAACAGGGTGAATTCATATGTGCAGCTTGACTTGTTATTTTTTATCTGTACTTTGTTTATTCTTACAACTCTCCAGAATTTTGTTGACCTTGCTTTTGAAAAGAAGCATCTTTTTAAAAGATATAAGGACAACTTAGGCGACTCAGTGAAATGCTAAAAAAAATGTCCCTTTTTAAATGCATCCAGTCAGTTTTTCAGATATTATTAAGACCTTTGTGTGTAACTGGATATGTTTGAACATAATATGTTGTAATATTCTGTCACCATGATATTATCATGGACAGGTGCAGTTTGCGCAGTCACAGCATCACAGTTTCACACGTCTCTGTCATGTTCACAGCTCACACAGCAGATAAAGAGACAGTATCATAAACGCTGCAAACATGCAGATCATCTGATGCAGAAAGTAGTCATCAGTGTCACACAGAGTAAACCCGGACAGGGTTAAGTGGTTGTTTGAGAAACAATCTGCTTGTACTTTTCACACCACTTACCTCCCATTTGATCGAGAATCACATACAGTCGGTCCTGGCAAGAAGAGTAGAGTCCCACTGTTGCCGGTGATGAACCTTCGTTAGCGTCTTGGACAGAGCGTATGCATAGATATTATCTGAAAGCAGATTTATGTGAACAGTTGACTTGGCTAACTCACTATAATGCAGGTAATATTGCTATTGAATAGAGATACATTCTTCTCTGCAGACAATATCAAATGCAGTCAAATTATCTAATTATCCTCAAACATTAATTTACTCTCACCGCATGATTGGATTTAGGTCAAGCCTTTGACAGAACCACTATATTCTGAATATGCTTCGATCTAAATCACTTCATCAGAGATCTTGAAGAGTTTCATTGTCTTAACTGGATGTTGTTTCGAAGCCTTAAATTTCCATGTAAAAAATATTCTGGCTAACTGTGGTGTTTGACCAAGAGATATTTATTCCCTTTACTCAACAATTTTTATTTAGATTGTTACAGAAAAAGAAATATTAAATTTTTTTAAATATTTGCCATCATAATGTTAGTAACAATGTTACTATGTACAGGATATCTGCAGTATATGTTCACTGGTGTTTGCATGTTCTGTGCATGCGTGGGTTCTCTCTGGGTACCCCGGCTTCCTCACACAGTCCAAAAACATGACTGTCAGGTTAATTGACAGGAGGTAAATTCTCCTTCGGTGTGAGTGTGTGTGTGGTTGTTTGTCTTGTCTGTCTCTGTGTTGCCCTGCGACAGACTGGCGACCTGTCCAGGGTGACCCTGCCTCTCGCCCAGAACGTTAGCTGGAGATAGGCAGCAGCACTTTCCGACCTCACTAAGGACAAGGGTGTAAGAAAATGGATGGATGGATGTTCACTGGTTTATCAGACATTGCAAAAATTATAAAGTGTGGCTATATTCTTAAATTGACTAAATTTTGAATGATTTATCTTCAGTTAACATGCACAGCGTATATTATTTTCTAAGATGGATATTCATTGGCACGTACATTTTCATTAGGCTCTCACTGTGAAATTATTTTCAGGCACAGTTAGAGTTGGACTCAGCAGATTTAACCACAGGAAGGTAAAGCACATCAGTTGTTTGGATGTGAAATTTCTTGGTACAAACAACAGTGATCTTTCAATGTTTTTACAACAAATTGTGTCAGGAATTGCAGGAGCTGCTTATGTAGCATGAGAGAGATAGGGGGACTATGTCCTCTCCCATCTATCATTGAATTAGCTCCGTTGTGATTCTGTTGTCTTGAAATTTTCAGAAAGACAAGACTTGTGCAATAGCAGCTACTGAAAATGCTCTCAAACTCCTTCTTGTGTTTGCTCCTGATACTCTGTTCCCCTCCAGACTTTCAAACACCTTATGGCTGCTGTTCATTAATTTAGCCCAGACAGGCACTGTTCCCATCAAACAGGATAGAAATCAGAGTCTGAACTCACACAGAGCCACCACTGATCCACATAATAATGTTTGCGAAGTGTGTTAGGCAGAATTCATTTGCACCCTGAAACAGAGTGAAAATAGAGTCTTTCTGAGGAGAAGGGAAGTGCTCTTCTACATGCACATTCATTTCTTGTGGAATAACTTACCTGTTGTTACCTCCTTCATCATGGCTGTAGGATGGACACACAGCTGTCAAAGAAAACACCTTTGATCTGCGAAAAATAAGAAACAGCAAGGCTCTCAGCTTGGGACACTTTGGAGACATTTCTGCAGCCATGTGTAATCTGTTAAGGTCCAGCTCTCTCCTCACTTCCCTCATCTAACACCTCTTCCTCTCCTCAAACCTTTAAGGGATTCATACATATCATTGCATTTATATTTTTATCGATCACTCGTAAAGACTTCTGGATAAATTTCATGAAGGATATTAATTGTTAACACAACATTTATTGATGTAAGCCAAACGCTTTATAAACAGCGAATGGTAACTTTAATTCTGAGCAGAAAATGTATGGGGAAATGTTTGTAACGTTAACAGTAAGGAATTATCAGCAACATTTAGGTTTATTTAGACTGTAATAGAGAAAGAGAAAAAGTGGGAGTTAATTTTTCAAAAACTAATTTTCATCATGGTATCGATATATTTAGAAATGTCAGAGTTTCAAAGTAAATTCACTTGTTCCTACATCCTTCAGATTGTTAAGTAAACATATCATGTTTTGTCATGCTTCTGACAGTCTGGTCTCATATGTTGATTTGGTTACTCGTATAATTTGCAAACTAAATATTTAGGCTAAATAAAGCTAATATTAAAACTAAATCTTATTTAGTTGAGAAGCTTCATATTTAGTTTCTTTAAACTAAATATTTATTTACTAACTAAAAGTTTAAGTTCCAAACTAAACATTTACAAACTAAATATTTAGATATAAATTAAATATTTATTTTGCTAAGAAAATATTTAGTTTCAAACCATATACTTATTGTCCAAACTAAACATTTAGTTTTCAACCTTAGCATTAAGCCTTGTACTTGTTTCATTGCCGTTGCTCGCGAAAGTGAATTTGGCAACAAAATGTCATTGCTTAGCTACCAGAGCAAATATTGAAAAACTATAAACTTTTTAAAATTAATATTCTACCGCTAACTAAATATTAAGGTTTAGTTATCTGTTAGCTAAACAAATGATAAAGTCTTTTTCGTTATTGGTTTAGTTGTAAACCTATAAACCAAATGAAGGGCGTCATTTAGCTCGGACCTCAAAGTTTAGATACGAGCTAACTTAGTTTTCATGCAAATTTGCTTACCGAGAAGCGGAACTGGAATATCACAATAAAAGCTGGGTTTTGCAGACCTCTTCACTTATGGCGGCACTGAATCGCTCCAGTCGTTGCTCAGCGAACGTTGTACCATTGATATGATCGATTCTTTCCCTTTTTACATGTCCAAATTGTAATTTAAACGTTAAACGTAGGTTTTGTCATGTTTCTATAGCAACAGTGTCTGCATCGACGTCTCCCACTTCGGTCAGGCCACAACACTTCCGGTTCATGATGCTTTAGAACTGCTAACTACTTTTTTTTTTTTTTACACAAACAATATTACACAATCAAAGATCTATGATTTTCAAAGAAATCATTTTGTTTTACGACTGAATGAACAGGAAGTCTTAAAGGTTGATAGGTTTAAAACAAATATTTTGGCCAGAATGAAAGTGAATTAAAATTAAAGATGTAAGAATGTTGTTTTATCATATTTTAATTCTTATAATTTTTTTGTCTGATTTGATCCTGACTTCAGATATTCTTCATAAAATGTCTGGCACAAAAATCTTTTATTTTTGTTTTTATACAGATGGACATATTTGGTCCAAATCATGAATACATCCTCGGTCTTATTCAGATCTCTCTGCACTGCAGTTAGACTTGGGTAGAATATAAAAACATTCAATAAATTATGCATGTTGTCAAGATATATGAACTTGAAAATGAAGGAAAGGTATTTGGACCTAAAACGCTCTAAGCTAGTTGGAATGTTTCTGACGGGCCTGAGAGTTTGGAAAAGCCGAATTCTCCAGAGGTCAAGCAAGGCAGATGAAATGATGGATTCATGTGACTGAAGGCTGCTGCATTTCATACTCTTTAAAGTATGAAATACTCTTTACTGACAGCGTTCAACAGGTGGTGTAATGCTGAAGATGTTAATTGGCAGCAAGTAGTTTTGCATGGAACCACTTCAGAAATGTGTATGATGGACATGATGCTTTTTTATTATTAGTTACAACATGAGTGCTCTGTGTTATGGGATGTATTACATGGGTGCACAACAAGAAGAGACTAAATAAAAACTGCACTGTTTTTTGAAGTTCCAGAAATTTTACTTGTAAATGTTCTTATTCAACAGCCAGATTTACACCATGTTTACATGTTTACATTGAAACCAGATTCTCTTCAGTTTGATCAATATTTGATTTTCATTAGAAATGCATCTTTTCCTTAGTAACAACAATTTTTTTTACAGCACTTTGTTTGTGCCAAATGTGAGAAACCTTTCCTCGGTCACCGCCATTACGAGAGAAAAGGTTTGGCTTACTGTGAGACGCATTACAATCAGGTAAGAAGCTAAACCTTGGCATTGAATGACATGAGTAACATCACAATGCAGGAAGACAATAAAGGAATTTGTTTGCTTTCTCTCCTTGTTTCTGTGCGGTTAAGCTCTTTGGGGACGTGTGTTATCACTGCAACCGTGTGATTGAAGGCGATGGTGAGCATCAGTGTGATAAAACACATAATTAGGATCTTCTTTGGTTCAGTAATTAAAAAGGTTCTATGGTTCAGTAATGAACAAAGTGTTGCTTTCAGTGACAACAGCTGAATCTTCTGTTTTTCTTTATTTTTTCTGCGCTCTCAGTTGTGTCTGCTCTCAACAAAGCCTGGTGTGTCAGTTGTTTCTCCTGCTCCACCTGCAACACCAAGCTCACTCTCAAGTAAGTCTTCATAAGTTCACTGACGCAAACCATAAAATCTAGTCACATGCAACTCTTCCACCTCGTGTTTGTTGTGCTCTTACTGTTCTTTAACACTTCTGAAGTTAACAGTGGTGTAAAATTCATGCCCCTGACATGGTTCCTGTTCTTATATTTTAAAATCTAATAATGTATTCTGTTTGAATGTGGTTGTGTATTGTAAATGCCTAGAATTGCTGAATATTTCTAAATTAATTGACATAACATTCAAAGATGGACGACTAACAGAAAAGCAAATCGAACAGTTTTTAAGCTAGTATTTTAACTTGTTTGATGAAAATGCCACTAACGAACGCTCAAGTTGCTTTGAATATTTTTGAACTTGAGTGTGTTTTGAAATGACAGCCACACAAAATAAGGTTTCTGCAATATTTTTACTATTGGAACACCTTATTTACATTTCATTTGACTTGGCATTTAATTAGGATGGAGTGAACTACATCTTATGGACAGTGTTGAGCTGCTTCATTAAAGATCAGTATCTTAAGTTTACAGGAATTAATAATTATGAGCTTATGATCAATCTTTTTTCCCCACAACATAACTTCAGTGCTCTGTGGTGTTAAGTTTCTTAGAGGTCATAATGGGACTGTTTTACTTACGACTGAACTCTTATTCATTAATGTTTAAAAATTTTGAGCTATAAATCTCTTGTGTGGTAAATACCGGAAACTCTTTTTTGACCTGGTAATGTTTAGTAGATAATCAAGTTTCCATCATTGCAAACTCAAACTGAATTTTTGTGTTTTATTTGTTAAATGGTTTTGAACTACAAGTACATTAAAAGAAGCATGCACATGCTAAACACTTCCAGTAGAAGTCAAATGACTCACTAACACACTTGAGTTGTAGTTCAGCTGTGAATTAATATATTTATACAGTGGGTGAAAAATGTTGCACTTTGGGACTTGAGTCCATATCCTGGAAGCCAGAAGCAACAGCTGAGGTGTAATGAAAACATATTTCAACACTTGATCAACACATCTGCTCATCAAAGCCATACAAACATGGAAAAGGGTTACAAAAAAAAAAAAGATTTGTAGCACTCAGTGTACCTCAGCACTCTCAATGTATTTAATTATGTTACAAAAGGCAACTGTTAACACAGGCTGGTGGTAGATGAGTAATTATCTCTTCACTGCATACTGGAGCAACTTGGACAGGTGGTTTTTGGCAGGTAATGGCAGCATGTTTCTCGTGCTGTGGCTGGATGGGTGAGCCAAAACTCAAGAAGTGCTGTTTGAAAGTTGCCCATTCACCAAATGTCATACCCAGGAGGGCTTTCAGGTCTTCTTTGTCACCAAAGACCAGAGCAGAGCCATTGAGTTTATGTTTTTTCACTGTTTCCCTGTACGTACTGTCCAATTTCATCCTCTCCATCTAAACAAAAGAATATAAAATACAATGGGGATAAGTTAGGTCAATGAGTAAGACTGAGAAATGTTCTAAAATATTTAATCACAAAATTCAAATGTGCACAAGTATCACAGTATAAACTTAAAGTTATGGAAAAATGTCCATCAGTATCTCTTTCTGAAAAACTGTAACTACAATTTTAAATCTGAAAGCTTTTTAAAAATGAGCTAAAAAGATCCAGACAGATCTTTAAGGAACAATATCCAATGGATATAAATGTAATTTATATCCAAGCTATGCTAAAAGTGCATAAGTCAAACAAACTAAATTGGTCTGAACTCACCTCTTCACATATGTCGTCTGTGGTCATTTTGATAAGACTTGTGACTGGAAGAGGAGCTATGTTCTTCATCCAACCAGAATCTTCCAGCCTGCAAGTCCCTCTGATAAGAGCCAGTTCCCTCTTGATTGACTGATCCAGATTCACCATCCCTACCTGAAAGATCTCCAGGTTCTTCAAGGTGAACTCAAACTCATCATCCTTGAGTAACGCTTCAAACACTTCAGGATCTCCGTCCTGCTCGAGGAGGTCCTCGATGTGTGTCCGCATCACGTATAGCTCCTCCCTGAACTCCCTGAAGACCTCCCAAAGGGTCTTTGAATCATCAAAGGTCATGTTCGGTTGATCAATCGCTGCTCTCTGCTTTTCATCCTCCACACACTGGAGGATCCAGCTGAATCGACAGGGCCACTGGTTGGCTAGAACCACCCATGCTGCAGTGTGCTCTGGGTCAGGAAACTCTTTCTTCAGTAACTTCAGTATTATGACCGTTACCCAGACAGAGCTGATCGTCCTCTTCATTGAGATGGCATCATCTAGCATGTACTTGTTCAGCTTTTTTTCAGCATTGCAAAGTATTGTCTGAACCATTTTCTCCAATTCATCCTCCTTCACATCTAAACTATCTCTATTTGTGTTGGTCAGAGGATATAACTCCTTTGATTCCCCAATTGCCACCACAGACAGATCTATTGAAGATGTCTTTCTCCTGTGTCTGTTCCATCTGGAAAAGGAATCTTCAGAGATGCCTGGAGTGTTGTTAAGACTATTAAATAAGCTGCGCTTTGAATTTTCACACATTGGTGGGACTGTGAAGGCCAATGTGACTATGCGCTTCAGCAGTGCGTGAGCTCTGTCCTCTTTGCAGAAGCAGCTTTCTGCAAATTTCACCTTTTCTAATAAAACATTTGGATCTGCAGCCAGAATGGAAAGCACTGGGCTTTCCTCATCTGAGAGTAAAATATTGATGGCCTCCAGGACTCCAACAATTTTCTTGGGGGAGCAACGGTCCAGATGAGTGATTTTCAACACAATACGAATCCTCCTCCTTTCAAACACCTCCATGAACTTGATGAATTGAGTCAGAAACCACATCTCTTTCCTGACTTCATTCATGAATCCTAATTGGTTGCTGATCCGTTCATTGTCCATTCGTCTCTTGATGTTCTGTTCTTGACTGAAAATGAGGTTCTTGACCATCTGAAAGGCAAACCTGAGTCCTGTCACTGCTGGGACTCCTAAGGATGCTATAGCAAAGCCCTCCAGTAGATTCATCTCACTACTTGCTTCAGTCCCCTGCTCCTCTGGTTTTATCTCAGCATTAGGAAGAACCCAAACAAAAAAGACAACGAGGAGAACTACTGGGACAACAATGATTAACAGTAGGAAAAACCACACGGGGCAGCAGCAAACCTTCTTGGATATCCAGTTGTTAGGGATGTCCTTCACCTCCTGAAGTGAAAAAAGTAACCCAAGAAGAAAAAGTGGTTACCAATCACTAGTGTGTGTTAGGGACATGTGTGTACATAGAAAATGTTGACTTTCTATCAGTTTGTTGACCACTTTTGTTTGGAAACCACTAAGTAGTTGGAAGATAACTTGGTAAAATAAATACATTGTTCCTGCAGATTTAATCCCTATAATGCAAATGTAATGTTGAGTTTGAACTCAACATGAGATCAATATTTAATGAGTAGATGCAGTTGAGTAAAATTATTGTTACTTTTTTGAAAAGCCAATGAACAGCGGCTTAGTATCTTACACATTGAACGAAAATACCGGAAAGACACAAACTGGCTGTCCAAGAAGGACAGCCACCTTTATTCTGCAAAGGTGAAATCCTTTGCAGAATATTTTTAAATAATATTTTCTAAATATGTTCTTAAGGCAAATAAAAAGCAAACAAAAAACTCACCTTTGCCTTTACTTCATCTTCTTCATCATATTGAGTAACACGATAGAGTGCGAGTTGCAGTTTCCCAAAATTCATCTGCATAGCATGAAACAATCGTATGGCTATCCCAGCCCATAGCATGTCACTGCCAGCAAAATGCCAGGCACTGAAATTCACATAAAGGAACCTGACATTATGGCGATTCTGGTTCTCTGTAGTCCAGACTGGTGTGTAGAAGAGCAGCCTCACAATGAGAAGCAACAAGTCTTTGACAGAAAGTTTGACTGCAAGGGGCTTTTGTCCTTTGTCAGATTTCTGCTCAATCCTCAAACTCCCGATTTGTGTACACTGAAAAACAACAATTAAAATATTTACATTGAGGATGTAGGTAGTTTGAATCCATATGATTGTATTAGAAATGTGGATGAACAATATCATCATCATATCTTCTGCAATGATAAAAAAAGGCATCTGTGACCAAGTCTCAGAGAAGCAGAATAAAATATGTATTTTAATATATTTGCCATGGATGATTTGTTTAGTAACTCACCTCAAGTAGAAACAAAGACAGAAGAAAAACGTAAAAAGCATTTTAATCAAAAATTTAATATTGTTCATCCAACCTCTAAAATCAAGGAATTGAGATAATTCTCTGGTAAACATTTTAAATTTTATTGATTTTACCTATTTGGCTTTCAATAAATACACTTAAGCAAAGAACTAAATCCAATACTTTCTCCAGGAAAACAATCAACGTCTCAGAGCCTCATTATTCTGTGAATTTTATTATCTAAGTTGAAGTTTCATTTGAAATGTACAATAAATCTGCCAAAGTTAAAAGAAAACTAATAATTCCTGTTGCAGCAGAACCTTCAGCAGCAACACTTTTCTTTTCCGTGGAGGCCTGTCACCACTCAGACTAGTTGACATGACTTGTCTTTGTAATATATTTCAAAACATTGAATGAACAGGGTGAATTCATATATGCAGCTTGACTTGTTATTTTTTATCTGTACTTTGTTTATTCCTACAACTCTCCAGAATTTTGTTGACCTTGCTTTTTAAAAGAAGCATCTTTTTAAAAGATATAAGGACAACTTAGGCGACTCAGTAAAATGCTAAAAAAATGTCCCTTTTTAAATGCATCCAGTCAGTTTATAAGATATTATTAAGACCTTTGTGTGTAACTGGATATGTTTGAGCATAATATGTTGTAATATTCTGTCACCATGATATTATCATGGACAGGTGCAGTTTGCGCAGTCACAGCATCACAGTTTCACACGTCTCTGTCATGTTCACAGCTCACACAGCAGATAAAGAGACGGTATCATAAACGCTGCAAACATGCAGATTATCTGATGCAGAAAGTAGTCATCAGTGTCACACAGAGTAAACCCGGACAGGCTTAAGTGGTTGTTTTAGAAACAATCTGCTTGTACTTTTCACACCACTTACCTCCCATTTGATCGAGAATCACATACAGTCGGTCCTGGCAAGAAGAGTAGAGTCCCACTGTTGCCGGTGATGAAACCTTCGTTAGCGTCTTGGACAGAGCGTATGCATAGATATTATCTGAAAGCAGATTTATGTGAACAGTTGACTTGGCTAACTCACTATAATGCAGGTAATATTGATATTGAATTAACATACATTCTTCTCTGCAGACAATATCAAATGCAGTCAAATTATCTAATTATCCTCAAACATTAATTTACTCTCACCACATGATTGGATTTAGGTCAAGCCTTTGACAAAACTACTATATTCTGAATATGCTTCGATCTAAATCACTTCATCAGAGATCTTGAAGAGTTTCATTGTCTTAACTGGATGTTATTTTTAAGCCTTAAACAGAGTTTCTTCCTGTATTTAACTCTATTTATTTCCCAATCAACCTCAACTGTCATCCCTACAAAATGATGCTGCTACCATCATGTTGAATGATAGTGAACATGTTTATGGAGGCCCCGCCTCTCACCCAGAAAGAAAGATGGATGGATGTCTTTTTTATGTTGGCATGAAGGTCCAACATTCATTCCTAACAATAAATTTCTTTTCCTCCACTCTTTTATACAAAAAAAAAAGAAATATGAAAAAAAATTGAATGTTTTCCATCACAATGCCAGTAACAATGTTACTATGTACAAGATATCTGCAGTATATGTTCACTGGTTATCACACATTGCAAAAATTTAAAAGTGTGGCTATATTCTTAAATTTTCACAGTTAGAGTTGGACTCAGTAGATTTAACCACAGGAAGGTAAAGCACATCAGTTGTTTGGATGTGAAATTTCTTGGTACAAACAACAGTGATCTTTCAATGTTTTTACAACAATTGTGTCAGGAATTGCAGGAGCTGCTTATGTAGCATGAGAGAGATAGGGGGACTATGTCCTCTCCCATCTATCATTGAATTAGCTCCGTTGTGATTCTGTTGTCTTGAAATTTTCAGAAAGACAAGACTTGTGCAATAGCAGCTACTGAAAATGCTCTCAAACTCCTTCTTGTGTTTGCTCCTGCTACTCTTTTCTCCTCCAGACTTTCAAACACCTTATGGCTGCTGTTCATTAATTTAGCCCAGACAGGCACTGTTCCCATCAAACAGGATAGAAATCAGAGTCTGAACTCACACAGAGCCACCACTGATCCACATAATAATGTTTGCGAAGTGTGTTAGGCAGAATTCATTTGCACCCTGAAACAGAGTGAAAATAGAGTCTTTCTGAGGAGAAGGGAAGTGCTCTTCTACATGCACATTCATTTCTTGTGGAATAACTTACCTGTTGTTACCTCCTTCATCATGACTGTAGGATGGACACACAGCTGTCAGAAAACAAATTTGATCTGTAAAAAATAAGAAACAGCAAGGCTCTCAGCTTGGGACACTTTGGAGACATTTCTGCAGCCATGTGTAATCTGTTAAGGTCCAGCTCTCTCCTCACTTCCCTCATCTAACACGTCTTCCTCTCCTCAAACCTTTAAGGGATTCATACATATCATTGCATTTATATTTTTATCGATCACTCGTAAAGGTTTAATGCAGGATTTAGGAAGGACATTGTTAATACAATATTTACTACTAGCTCATATGTCCAATGTTGAAAAACAAGTGATGGTATATTTAATTCTGAAAAATGGGCTTTATGTTTATTTACCTGTTTTAAATGTACCTTAACACAGCCGTTCAATAATTATGTCAAAGGGTTTGAATATTTAATGATTTATTAACATTTACAGCCATTTAAACTGACATTGTTTGCATTCATAAAGCATTATTGCCAAAAGTTTTAATAGGCTTCGTTTTCTGATGTTCAGGGACCAATAAAATGTTAATATATTCCTTTTAAACCTATAAATTAATCAGCTAGCATTTACTACATTGTCATCTATGTTCCTAATTCCAATAAGGGCTGACAACACGTTACTGAACTCTGCAATTGCTTGCACCGGAGAATTAGTGCGAAAAAAAAAGAAAAAAAGATTCCACAAAAGAACCATCATTATGTATTTGCAGTTGTAACTCGATGATGAAGATTTCTGCACCATTTATTTCATCTTCATCTATGTCTTCATCCTGGTAGAACAGCTTTGATCAAATTCTGTTAGTGAATCCTACTGGGCCGACTCAGCCAAATTAGAAAGTGAGTTATTCCCTTTTTAACAACTGTGTCGTTAATTTAATTAGGTGCTTATTTGCGATTTATTGTCATGGTCACCCATCCTCTTTGGTCTGACATAGCCTGGTGCAGTGTGCTTCTGTAAGGCTTGTTGATGCAATTTTAAATTAGTTGCCTCTCAGCGTGTTTCAAAGCATCCTTCAGCCAAAGGACATGATCGATTCTCAATAGAATTAATTTGGGATATTGGTATGCAGACATGTTTCATTTCCTATTGTGGTTTTTATTGTTCTTTAATACGTGCTGTTTTTCCCCTCTCTAAGCTTAATAATTGCAACCTGCTGATATGCTTCACTGTCTTTTTAAAAGGTAGTAAATTAAATTAGCTCACATTAAAGGCCAGTAAAAAGTAGTAAAAGGTAACAAATAGAATTTGACTTGGTAGTAGCCTACATTTTTCATGACCCTTTCAATATATTTAGAATTTCACGTTGATGCTGACCTTTTTTCTTTTTTCTTTTTTTGCTTTAAGTTCGTATTACGGAGCCCCTTAGGGGACATGGGGGGACTTTTTTTTCCTTATGCGTTTTGCGCACCAACAAACACGCAAAACAGACCGAATGGTCTGTTTTGAGTGGGAACCGTTTAAGTGGGATGAAGTGTTTGTTGCCTTACCTGGGCCATCATGTTACATGAGTCAGTGCTGTGAATTCATTATATGGGCCGATCGCGGTTTTCTGGTCGATCGCTGATTACAGATCTTTAAAAAGCCTGACCTGCTGATTCCGATTTTGCTCTACACCATTTTTTTTTTGTATGAAATGTCACTAAAAAAGTGTTTTTTGGCAACAGAGGGGTGATTATTAACTACAACGTGCAGACGTGATCTGGCGGGCCAGTCTGTCAGTTAAATCTCTCTCGCAGCAGAGCAGAAGAGGGCGCTGGCTGATTTTCAGACATTTGCTCAGGTCGATAAGATTGGCTTCACATGTATTTTCCGATCACCGATCTCCCAAAATTAAGGAAATCTGTGCTGATAAATCAACAGCAATCGGTGCACCTGAAACCTTTTTAATTATAATCGCTGAGCATCAGCTCTGCGTTGTGGGAATACGGGGCCAGGAGACAGGATGAGATGAAATGTGGTTTGTCTGTAAACAGAAGATGGAATAATCAGGAACCAGGTTCATCACAGGCACAGCATCGTGTCAGCATCAAACTAACAGAACATTTTACCGGATCGTGACAATGTTCTCAGTGAACCTACCTCCCGCCCATCTCTCATGATCTGGCACCGAGATGTCTGAGTTCACTGTGTTTAACACTGCAAACCACCAGGAGGGGGCGCTGTTTCACCCATTACACACCCCGAGAATTCACCGCTCTCCCAAAAGAGACTCGATTTTTGTATTGGTAGTAAAAATATTTGAAACACCTTTAGGATTTTCTCAAGTACCTTAAAAAGGGATTCATTTTTTTTTTCATTCATTGGTTGTCAAGGCAATACATATTTCTGGAGAATGACAGACTTTGTCTCTAATCAAAGCTTTTTTAAGATGCTATGGGCTCCTCTACAGCCTGAGGTTGATCTATCCTATTAACCTCAGATTTTTTTTTTAATTATAGACAAATATTCTAATTTTTATAGGATTTTTTTCAATTTGTTAGAGTACTAATTTTGTCATTGATAACCTCTTTCCTCAATTCAGGGTGTGGTCTGCCTTTAAACAAACTGTGGTGCTGCCACTTTTCGAGCTAAAAGATTTAAGTCCTTCTGCTTGTGGAATCTGGGCTTTATTTCTTAGTTCGGATCTGGGAGGGGTGTTCCACGGCGAGCTCCATCCAGTCCCTCTGCTGCTGCTGTTCTTGTCCGACCTCCAACCCCTCTACTCGGCTGCCTTCATCTTGTTACTCATCCGGAAACAACAGTTCTCCATCTCGGCTCCATCTGTGCCGCAGACTCACCTGCTGGATTCTAACACTAAACACCTGCAGCGAGTCAAGACTGTTGCTCCGTGGCGCCCTCATGAGGACGACCACGCGAACTGCAACAAAGGGTGAAACACGCAGACACCTCCCAGATCCAAACAGAAGTCGCCTTTTCTTTCCCACGTTCTTTTACAAAATTATTCTTATTATTTCTTCTTGCCCCAGCTGGAAGTGTTTTTAGAAGAGAATTGTGTTCATGAAAAGTTTCAGTCTGGCTTTAAAACGTTTCACAGCACTAAAACTGCTATCCTAAAGTTTTTAATGACCTGGTTATAGCTGTTTTTGAAAATCCTTGTTTGTCTTACTCTTTGTTTGACATTAGATTATTCCATCCTTTAATCAAGGCTTGAGTGTTGTGTGGGGTTGGAAGAAATTGTGCTAATTGGTATAAGTCTTTAATGAGGGTGGGGGAGGGGGCGGTGGAGGAAGCTTCTCCTTCCAGGTGGACACGTATTCTTCAGCTGCAACACTTATTACTTGGGGTATTCTGCAATGATTCATTCAAGGGCTGGTCTTTCTTTTCCTTATGGTACACTTAGGGCCTGTTTCTATAAAATATTGCTTTCCACTGCTTTGTTGATGGCATTCAACACTATCTGTTTACAAAAAACAGTTCTGTGATGGCATTATTGCAATGTCTTCCTGATATAAAAGCGTGAATGAACTCAAGATTCCTCCTCCTCAACCATCATACAACAGAGGTTATGGTATCTTGGAGATTAGATCTTTCAAATCTCATTTTCGAACGCTCTGTGAAGACTCACAATGTATTCTTTGACTACTTATTTCACAAAGCATTCAGTTGTCAAGATGATACTTTTTCCCCAGCTATGTTTTGTTACTAAAGCAATGCTTTAAGGACATTAGAAGTGCTTGTTTTAAGATAAATTTGTTTAGATTACTGTAATTCATTTTGTCAGTTTAGACCAGTCAACCTGTTGCTTGACAAAATGAAACTGATCGCCTGTTAACAAGAACTAGAAAACACGTAATTCCAGTTCTGGTTTGCTATTTTTACATCTTTCCAGGACTCATTTTGAAATGTTGCTACTGGTTTTGAACAGTTTTAATGGTCTCTAATCTTACAAAATGCCATCCATCCACAGGAAGACGGAGGTCAAATCTGATATTCTCAAGCCTGGGCAGAAGATGATTGTACCTTCGCTGCTGCTGCTCCAGAACTACCAATCCATGTAACAGCCGTGCACAATCTCAAGGTTTTAAGTGCTTTTAAAGAACCAGCTCTTCACCTTGCCTTTTCATTTATAAAGGGTCAATATCTCAAATGTTTTTCATTTTGAAGTAAAAATTCCATTTATTTTGCCTGATTATGTTATTGCTGAGCTGCATAATCAGGCAGTAATGCCTGATTTTCCATTACTCAGGTGGAACGCGTTTGCCGTACAGTGCAAAAGTTGACACAGACATTTTATTGCCACTGTTATGTCAACAGGTTTATCCCTGTTAATGATTGCTGTTCACTTCACCTTTCCTCTTTTAGCAACATATTTTCAAACCTTGTCAGAACTTGCCTGAGAGAGTCTTACTCGCAGACATGAAAGTTCTGCTGAAATTTGATAACGTTTCATGGTCCAAGTTCTGATCAACGTGAACGAACCATACTTTTAAATCTTCTGTATAACTTAATCCTCTGACTTCAGGATAGAGACATGATTTCAATCCAACAGGCTTACCTGGATGACGGGAGTTGGTCTTTTCTTCAGGTCGTTTCTTATCAATGCTTTTAAAACACTACAAACCACAGAAAGCCAGCAGCAGCTGCAGGTAAAGTAAAAGGTGTGGCGGTGCTCAGGACATATTTTATAGCGCGAAAAGGAAAGGGAGGGGAGGGGGGGACAAAAAAGTATCTGATAACTACAGGCTTTCCATAGGCTTAACGCTTTCCAGGAAGTGAAGTCATAAAAAAGATTTAAATCCGCCATGCCTTACACTTAAAGCTGTGCATTATCTTATTTTTCCTTTTCTCAGCTGGTATTTTTTGTCTACTTCACCAATCACAGGATAGGGGTCTGTCGTGTTGGGCAGTGCCTGAAACCATCACACCATAGAAAATCTCCTGTTCTCCAAACAGCTTCTGGCAACAACTGTCCAACATTTTCTGTCTGTGGAAAAATGGAACAAATGAGTGATTTTTTATTTATTTATTTTTTTTACTTCAGAGCTGTTGGGTCTGCATGATTCATGAACCACATGTTCTGACTTTGGGAGTCCCTCAGGTGGAGATTGACTGGATCGTTTTGCTCGGCATAATCTGACATGTGAAACAGTTAAGATGCCAAAACAGCAGCACCAAAGCTTGTTTTTTCTTTTCTTTTTTTTCTTTCTTTTGCCTAAAGTAGAATTTGTTTTGACACAACTGGTTAGTCAAGCTTTCAGAAACAAGCCAAAGGCCTAATTTCCCTTGACATATTTACTTTATTTTCTTTAGCATTTATTTATTTATTTCCATGAGGTTAGCCATGCTGGGTTGTCACAGCACGGTCTGCAGCAGAACTCTTTCATGCACTATGCAAATGATTTCAAAGCGGGTGCTTCAAACTTACAAAAGAGCATCCGTTCTACGTTAAATGCGGGTCATAAACGAGATGACAGTCATTTTTAAGCCGTGCATTTTCACATCTTTGCAGAAAGTATGCGCCATTTCATGCATTGTCTAGTATGTTTGAAGCACATTTCACAAAAAATGCTAATGGCAAAAGTGAAGTCCCAAGTCACGAGACAAAGCGGACACTATGTATATTTAACAAGCAAATGATGAACATAACTAGATCTATTTTCTTTCTTTTTTGTCAAAGCAATCCTACCGATTGGTGTCATTTGTGTTGATAACTTTAATCGCAACGCTCAAAGAGTGAAAGGCTAAATCTTTAGGCAATTTGCAAAAGTTTAATTAATGTATTTAATTTGTACTAAAACCGCTGGGCCTGAGGGTGACTGATTATTTTTACTTTCTGCAGGAAGTTGATTGTTCAACTACTTTAATTAACTTTGTTGTTGTAGAAATAAAGTAAGATTGAGCGTGACAGACAGTTCTCACTTATTGCTTGGCCAGAAGTCTTTTGCAGATGAATACAGAATAAACTGGATATCATCACCCAGTCTGCACACCTTCAACACACCTTGCCCTCTCACCGAATAGACTTTGTGATTAAGGTGAATAAATTCTTTTAGATGACTAATCCGAGATAAGCATCAAGGAGAGATAATGTGCTGCTCAACACTGGGGAAAATTCTGAAGATTTGCTCCCTAAAATAAGGGGAAATGAAACGAATGTAGTCATATGTCAGGTTCGTGGAACAGGCAGCTATAATTGTGAGAGGTGGGGGCTCACTGGTCCATTTGCATGAGCTGATGGGTAAACAGGTCTGAGGATGTGAGGCTTTTTAAAGTCCTGTTGGAATCCAACAGAGGGTGCTAAAGCATTGTACATGAAAACAGGATGGTGGCATTTGATCAACATCCCTTCATGTATCTTCTCTGTTTAGTATGGGAGAGCAGCACTGACACTAAGGGAGGCATTTGAAAATTGGGTGCGGCTTAAGGATTAGGACTTGCTGGACTTATTCTTGGAAAGTGGTGATAGTCATTTATTGTACAGTTTACGCAACAGTTTTAAACCACCTTTTGCTTCTTTATGGTTTCACTGCAAATAGCCAGATTTTCTTGTAAACTTTCAAGTGGTCAGTCTCAATAACACTCATAATAATAAGGTTATTTTCATCTTTTGTCTCTGACCTTTTTATCCTTTGGTTATGTACTTAAACTTGAGGGAGATAGAAAAACAGAGTACATAAATGAAGTGTGAAGTCTAACTGCCCAGAGCAGATGATTTGTATCTTAATGTTATCCTATGAAGGAAGACAGAAAAATGCATCATCCACAGCCAATCATCTACTATAAGGCGAGTTTTAATATAGTAGCTCTTTGGGAATGAACTTATTGGCACTAAAATTTCATTATCGCTGTCAAACAGTGTTTTGCTTTTGCCGAGTTAAGGAAATTGGAACAAATTGTGTTGCTGTGATGGACTGCTGCTAATAAAATGCCTAAATATCAAATTTAATACATGCTTCTGCTGAGTAGACTCTAGGTAAGGAGCTTTTCATGCCTGAATGATTCATAGGTCAGAGTTAGGTGGCTTAGCAAACAACAACAATAAGAAAAGAACATCTCTCTAAAAATGGCCAGGTACTGAACATAATGGACTAATAATGTACAAAGTGAAAAATAACTTTGGAATGCCTGAAACATGTTGGTTCTAAATATTGAGGAGCCAGTAATGAATGAAGATCAGTCTGTCTGTATGTTCTCACCCACCCACCTTCAATAAACAGAAACCTAACCATCCTGTGCAGCTGTCTTTGATGGGCTAACCATAATCATAATCCAGTCATCTCTGACTGTAGCCTTAACCTTACAACAGCAAGCCTCTGACTTTTAAGGGCAGCAAAAATTAGACACCCTCATTATTTAAGGAATGAAATCCTACATGGTTTCCAACTGGGTCCAGAAGAGGGAACAAAGCCAGTATCTAGTATCACTTCGTTTCTTTTACTCTTTTTTTTCCGTGTTTCTTAAGAGTTGACAAGCTTGAGTATCGACACAGAGTCTTACAAAAGCTTGGCCCTGAGCCTGCTTGCCTGGCCTAATTGGCCTCAGGACCTCTTGTTGGTGCGGGCTATTGATCAGTCTCGGTGCAGATGCTGCTAAGTCACAGGCAGAGGACAGAGAAATGGCCAGATATAGTGAAAGTAAGTGCTGCAAAATCTGGGCATGATTTCTTAAGCCTTGTCATTCGCTGTGCAGAGCTGCACGGCAAGCAAAGATGATAGGATCCTCACCTCGAAGCACAGGGGTCCACATTCTTGCCACAAGCTGATTCAGACTCACTGATTGTCCTTTATTGTTACCACAGGGCTGATGGTGCCAACAAATGGAGGTTTCTGAATACTGTGACCTCCACAGATCTATAGACAGCGTCTACTTTAACAATCCCACCAGAGACAACGAGATGAAACCCCACCAACACTTGCAAAACCCACTTTTTTCGTTGAAAAAACCTCTGCGGCAAATATTAGGAGAAAGGAAAAAAAAAAGGCGGTGATGAGATTGCCACTGAAGAGCCCTTGTGGGGCAGGGGTGAGAGGAATGGGGATGCATGCTGATCTTGTATCTATCAGTACAAACATTCTATACGCCATTATTTTTCTGTCTGCACCTTCAACCTCTTTTCTATTCACATTCAGAACCTGGATCGCATCATTCCGTTCTCATATTTTCCCATTTTGACTTCTTCTACTTCGTTGTCTTCCCTCAAAGTCATTTCAATGTAAATAGTGCCTGTGCTTATCTGCCTCTTAAGCCTCCTTCATCATTCCGTAAGACTTTTTCAATTCTCAGAAAAGCTCATAAAAGAAACATGCATATGTTTATGAGGCCTGCCACGCAATATGTCCTCCACAACCTCATAAAACACATTCTTCTTTATGTGGAGCCCAAATTTCTATTCTCTGCAGCACGTGAAGGCTACATTCCCATATGGTAATGCATTTATGATGCATGACAAGGCTCGCAATTCTCAATCTCCTCTGCAGCACGGCGCGAGTAACCAGAACTGTCCAAAAGCCATAGCCGTGACAACGCGGATCATTATACATTTTTCTTTCTGTGCTCTCGTCTCTCTGTATTCCTCCCCATGTCTCTCTGCAATCCACTTTCATCCCTTTGGTGCAAAAGCGCAGCCACCAGGTGCACACAGAGCTCTTCGTTGGGTGGCAGTGTTGGAGTGAGTGTCCACTCCCGGACCTTTTCAGCGGCACTGAAAACCTACACGCATGTCTGCACACATTCACGGCAACCTGCTGATCCCGCCGCCTGTTTTATTGTCAATATCAGTCGGCTCAGGGGCTGTAGAGGTTGATGGCTGTTGACAGGGGCTGGATTGTGGCGGTAAAGACGATGGCAGCTCTCGCAGAGATAGAATGGCTGTATCTTGAGACCTCTTGGAGGGTGTTATTGGGCTGTTACGAAATCTGCCCCCTATCAGAGGTAAGAGGGAGGATATAGGCAAGATGCACTGCAGAATACAAGTGTTGACTCTCTGCTTTCCTCCTATGGCTTCGTCTTATCTCCACCTCCAATTCATTCTCTTGCACACACACATTTCTCCTGAGAGTCTTAACACCTATACCCGAGTTTTTCAATCAGCATAGCCTGCAGCCTCCCCTGCACACTTGTGAGTAGGAAAGGCAGACTAACGGTTTCAAGGTATTACCAAGGTTGTAAAAGTTGTGCTTTCAAAGCCACACGCAAAAAAACATGTTAACCCTCCAATGGTTTAAAGTCCTTTTGATGAAACGGAGTGACCAGGCTCTATGGAGAACAGAGGTTTCTGCATTTTTCTCTTGCTAACAAAAAAGAAAAGTATCATCTGTTTGGGGACATCTTTGTAAAAATCCCAGAGTCAAGCTGTGAGCAACATACTGTTAAGCAGCTGAATGGAGGCTCTACCCTCGCTGTAAAAAAAGTCACTGGAGAATTTACAGCAACTTTCTGGCAGCAGGGTTACCAGTAAGTTGCTGTAATTTTTATGGAAAAGAAATTACAGTAATTTCAGAGAACCCTACAGTAGCCTTACTGTAATTCTATTAGTTTAACTGTAATTTTATTGCAGGTTTACTGTAATTTTTATTATTATCTTACTGTAATTTGATTAGTTTTACTGTAATTTTTTAAAAAAATAGCACAGTACATATTTAACATGGT